ACTAAACCATATTCCTGAGGACCATGTCAACCTGTATTTTGAACACCTCCAGGGATGGTGCCTCAACCACTTCCCTGGGCAGCCTATTCCAATGCTTGATAACTCTTTTGGTGAAGAAATGTTTCTTAATATCCAATCTAAACCTCCCCTGGTGCAACCTGAGGCCATTTCCCCTTGTCCTATCTCCTGAGACCGACCCCCGCTTCTCTACACCCTCCTTTCAGGTAGTTATAGGGCGCAATAAGGTCTCCCCTCAGCCTCCTCTTCCCCAGACTGAACAACCCCAGCTCCCTCAGCCTCTCCTCATAAGACTTATTCTCCAGACCCCTCACCAGGTTCATTGCCCTTCTCTGGACCCGCTCCAGCACCTCAATGTCTTTTTTATGGTAGGGGGCCCAAAACTGGACACAGCACTCAAGGTGAGGCCTCACCAGTGCCGAGTACAGGGGGACGATCACCTCTTGGGTCCTACTCACCACTCTGTTCCTGATACAGGCCAGGATGCTGTTGGCCTTCTTGGCCACCTGGGCACACATCTGGCTCATGTTCAGCCTGCTGTTGACCAACACCCCCAGGTCCTTTTCTGCCAGGCAGCTCTCCAGCCACTCTGCTCCCAGCCTGTAGCGCTCCCTGGGGTTGTTGTGACCCAAGTGCCTTATTGGAACTTATCCTGTTGGTCCATCAATTCAGCCTGTCCAGACCCCTCTGCAAAGCCTCTCTACCCTCCAGCAGGTCGACACTGCCCCCCAGCTTGGTGTTGTCTGCAAACTTACTGAGGGTGCACTCCATCCCCTCATCCAGATCGTTGATAAAGATATTAAAGAGAACAGGTCCCAGTACCGAGCCCTGTGGGACACCACTCGTGACCGGCCACCAACTGGATTTAACTCCATTTACCACCACTCTCTGGGCCCGGCCCTCCAGTCAGTTTTTAACCCAGTGGACAGTACACCCATCTAAGCCATGAGCAGCCAGTTTCTCCAGGAGGATACTGTGGGAGACCGTATCAAAGGCCTTGCTAAAGTCCAGGTAAACAACATCCACAGCCTTTCCTTCATCCAGCAAGTGGGTCACTGACACTCTACTCACCGTAGAGTCTGACTGGGAGGGAGATTAAGGAAGACAAAAATCTGAGTTTGTAGAAGTCTTACAATTTTCTGTATTTTCTGGAAATCTAAATTAGTAATTGTTTGGGGATTTCCTTAAATTTAGAAAAGCAGTGTACTGAATTGTTTATTTGGCTATGGGAAGTCTAGTCACATGAAGTTATAATTGCTATAATATGCTATCTCTGGGGAGATAGCCATCGTTATAATTGCTATTATATGGCTATGTCTCTGGGGAGTAACCAATATATTGGTTTTGTTGGTCTTTTCTTGGTAGAGCTTAATTATTGAAGAGGCAGAAGTTAGTTATCTTACAGTGAATACCTGAGAATCTTTTGGGAACGAAACAATTCTGCTCTTTAATGCTAATTGAAAAGTCAAATGAAGTCAATTTCTCTAAACAGTACCTATCTTCAAACAAAACCAAAAAAACCCCACCATTACTTCTACAGTGAATCTACTCTGTTGTCAGAGCTGTTACACATTCTAGATTTAAAATCAGTTTTCTAAGGGCCAGACTTTTTTGTAATATAAACCAGCAAAAAATAAATCTGTATTGGATCAATTCTAATGCTTTTCTTATTATAAGAACAGTTGATGTTTGGACCTAAAATCATATTAGCCTAAATCAGAAACTCAAAGAAAATACTGTTTTCTGTAGTTACAGGCTGTGCTTTGTGGTCATGGCCCTCCAGGAGTCCCAGCAACTTTGACTTGTCACTGAGACAGTGGTGCAGGATGAATCTGTTTTCCAGACCCATAGGAAGTTCACTAGCCTTCTCCTACCCACTGAATTACCATTGGGCCTCAGGAGTAGGGTTGTGGCTGCCCTAGATAAATATTTTTTCTGTGTAGACTAACCTCATAAATCGTATATTATATGAAAAAATGCTTCTAACATAAACTGAGCTAAATAAATCTCCCCTCCCCCCTCTACTTAGGGGTATAACTGAAAATAGGGTGGTTTTCTCTATAAAGTCCACATTATTAACGCAATAGTATGGCATACAATGCGTGCTTATAATAAAACTGGCATGCAACTTCATTTCTATGAACTAGAATCATTAACTTCAGTATTCATGATGTTGTTCAGGAGGGCATGCTGAATTCCCTGAAATTACATTATTGTCTGGAGTTGTATCATTTTTAGTAAGACTGCAACTGGGTGATAACTTTCAAATTTATTTTTGCTGAACTTTATAGACCGGCAGTTCAGTCTATGTAAATTGTCACTTTTCATCTACTTTGTGATTACAGTAATGAGTCTCTGTATCAAACTATGTAATGACCCTCTAGGTAATATTGCATTTTCTGATCCAAATAGATATTATGTTTCTACTGTTTCAGCATTCCTATAGCAAGCAGTAAAATTTTCTTCGGAGGGAGAACACAGTGTTTGTAATGGACACTTACTAAAGACTGTCTGTCGTTTGACTTGTGTTATGGTTACTTTAGTGCATATGCTAAAAAAAGATAATTTCTGGAGATAATGCTGAAGGAGGTTGTAGTTCTTATTAAAATCAACCTGTTTGAATAGAGATGATTAATTTATATATAGTTTGTGAACTAAATAATAGGTGTTTCTTGCTAAATTAGCTGGCTTCAGGTGACCGCATTGAGAGAGAGGAGACCATGTGCTTTAAAGCTCCATTATGTGTTTGTTATCTTATGATTGTATTACCTTTTAGGCAACAGATCCTCTCAATCTCATTAAATTGTGATGTGCTAGAATCAGTGTACATCAGCAGCCCTTCCTTCAGCTGAAGCTTGAAGCCCCTTTGTGTTCATTCTAGTCCACTGCAAGTTTTTTCTTCCAGTTTTCAGAGATCCTTCTTCCAACAACAGGAATATAATCTTTGGGTTTCCTCTCAGATAAGCCTCTGAAATACTCCATCCATAGAAAGGATATTTTACTACTATTTTTTTAATTGCTCCAAAGTGATCATTGAGGAATTCAAATGTATTCTAAATAACAGTCCCCTTCCCCAAAAATTAAAACAAACAATCTTTTCCCACTGGAGATTTTTGAGGGCATTGTGAGTTCAAAGGGTGTATCCTAGAAGCAGTTTGCACAAAACCATCTTACAGAAATATCTCCAGTGGTTGAAAGCTCGTTTAAAAAAAAAATCCTCTTAATTATAAAATCATTTCAGGGTAAAGACTGAAAGTTGCTCCTTTCATAGAATGGACTCATTGAAGGAGCAATTGCATTAAGGTGGTGCTTTGTTGTCAACTTCTCATTAGCATAACCTGTAGAAGTTAGTGCAAAAGAGAGGAATTGTTACCCCTTAGCAAAGACCAAATTGAACTTGCCAATACATTTATTTTTTTTAGTGGACCATACCTTAGTGTTGCCCATAGGTGGGCCATCTGTTGTGTACTTGTAACATTTTTTGTATGCTTTGCCACCATCTTTTGTCATGAGCAGTGCTTATGAAGTGCTCATTATCTCCACTATCTATCTGGTCTTGTGAAGAGTGTAGGATTTCTGCATGCAACTGGAATTCACATTTCCTTCGTGTACTGAAACCTGTCAGGCACAGAACTCTACTGCTTATTCCTGCTTTCTTCTTAACCTGTGTGGTTACATCAGGGTAGCATATGGTCAGAAAATGGGATGTTACAGGGTTGGCAGAGAAATTCAAGACCAGATTGTCTGAGGGCACCCACTGAGAAAAGAGACAGCAGTGGACAAGAAGAATGGTGGAGTGGACACAAACAAGAAAAGTGTTGGCAAAGGAATTGGAAACATGGAAATATGGGGAAAAAAACAGTAATAAATAAATTGATATTTTTATGTGAAGATTAGGAACTGTTTTTCAGATGCACTGTATTTGTGGCAATATTTTGTGTTGATCAGATCGAAGTCAGGCTAGCTTTGTTAACCTTCCTGTGTTCAAAATCTAAAACATTTTTTGTTCATTTTTTCTGTCAAAGCATAGTGATTTTGTCTTTGGAAAAACAATGAGTATAAACTATGTTAATACTTTGGTTTTCTGCCTTATGTCAGGAAGAAAAATCACAGTTATAGGTAAATATGGCCTGTTACTACAAAACATAATATACTGTGTAACAGTTTTTTCAACAGCAGTACAGAATTAAGTCAGGTGAAAATGTAAAAATCTGTTTTCTACTAGTGATTTAAAGACTTTTACCATTCTGTATTATGTTGTTTTTCCTAAGAATAATATATTTTATTTAAAAAATAATGTGGAATATACTTTGAAGACTTTGAATACTTTGAATACACTGCGTTTTGTTTGTTACTTTCCTGTAACTTTCTGTGAACTTTTTGAAGGACTGCCACTGTGCTACTATGGGTGAAAAATTCGAGGCATGCTAGACATTGTCTTCTGTAACTTTTAAACTACTGTAGCTTTTAAGTTAGTTGAGAGCAGGCTGTATCTACATTTCTCTTCATGCTAGTTTCTGATCAAATAATAAGACTTCTGAGCTTTCTTCAGTCCAACATTGTCTTACTTAGAAATTCCCTAGCAGGTCCCTGAGAAACATACAGTCTTTTCCTGATTTTGTAGGGGAAAAAATGAGTTCAATTAAAGCTTTCTTAAAGTGTTTCAAGTTCACAATTTGTGGATCAAAAAATAAAATTAAAATGCAATTATATATGGAAAAACTCAAAATATATTTTAAAATAAGAACAATTTCTTATAGCAGGTTAATTTGTTTGAAGTACTATTGAGATTAATAGTACTATGCTCTTTTTGTTTTAACTGTGCTCTTAATAGAGTCCATAATACACAATAAGCCTCCCACATCCTCAGTGTGATTTCAAGTACTGTGTACCTCCCAATTGTTTTGCATAAAAGTTAACTTTAAATATAAAGTAGAATTACATAGAATGAATGTTCTAATAATATTTGAATTTTGTTTCAGAGCAAAGTAGAAGAGATGATTTGGAAGCTTTAGGTCATATGTTTATGTATTTTCTCAGAGGAAGCCTTCCATGGCAAGGTTTAAAGGTAGTGGTTTTTAATATCTTCCTCTATACTATTTTTAGATCACCAGCTTTTCTTGCCACAATCTTTTTCTTTTTTTTAAGTATCTTCAAGCTGTGTAACTTTAGAAGTTTGTTTTGGTTTTGTACCATAGGCTGATACATTAAAGGAACGTTACCAGAAAATTGGAGACACAAAACGAGCAACCCCTATAGAAGTATTGTGTGAAAACTTCCCAGGTAATATCTACTGTTAATAAAACTGTTGTGTGTTGATTTAGAAAATGATACTGGCATAGAAACTGTTTAACATCTGGTTTTAAAAAATATAATGCTTCCAAATATGTCTGTTATGTACTATGGTGTGGAATTATCCTTTGAAGTAGTACTAAGCTAATTATCCTTTGAAGTAGTACTAAGCTAATGCTGGTGTTCTTCAAAGATAGATTATTCTGAAGGAAACATTAAAAAAAATGATTATATATATTCTTATGGTGGTCAACTAGCTTACACTTGTATAATCACACATAAAATTTTGCAAGCTTTTTCAGCTTAAATCTGATATGTATTTTTTTAAAAGAAGCTGTATTAGGAACAGCCTGAAATAATACTGGAAGTAACTTGGAGGCAGTTTCAGGTTTCACTTTTAGTTTTTCTAAGTGCACAGAGAATCAACGAGGTACTGGAAAATTGGAGAGAAGGAAATATGGCATTCTTTAAAAGCTGGACTAGCCAGCTCAGGACAGAGGACACGATTGATATGATTTTGCCACAACAAAAATAAACACCTTGAAAAATAATCACAATATTCCTAATAAGCAAAATGGATTTGCTGATTTGATTTCCTCTTATGAAAGGAAATACTGTCCACAGTAGGCCTACTGTGGACGAGAGGCAGATGTTTTATCTCATGAAATCTTAGTACTTTTGCTTTTGATGCTCTTTTAAAGTACCTTCACAAATAATCTTAAAAGCGTAATCAAGAAGAATCTACAATGGGAAGAGGAGTGTAAAACAATTTGAAGTAATTAAGTACATTGTTGCCAAATTTGAAACATGAATTGGTATTCCACAGATACCTAAGTTCAATCTGTTCAGTATTTTTTAGTGCCTCGTATAATTGAGAATGTTTATTAAACTTTGAAAAGATAAATTTGAAATTTGTAGGCTTGATAGTATGGTTAGAATGAAAGTATCCTGACAGATATAAAATACAGACTTAAAAAGATAAAGTTCAAGAAATTGTATTCAAGGTAGTGCATGGGGATGGGATCAAATCCAAATTTAGAATTATTGGGTATGGAAAGGTTGCTTAGGTAATGACTCAAACTCCTTCAGTCACAAAGTAAATGCAAGTGAACAGTGTCATGCTGTTATATATTTCAAACCAAACAAATGCCCCTATACTAAATTGGATTATATAAACAAGATATAGCCTGAAAGACACATGAATTGCCATTTCCACTCTACTTGAATCTGTAAGCCTCAGTTTAAGCAGTATGTTCAGTTTTGGGGACTGTACTTCAAGAAAATGTATCCAATTTTATGGGTATCTTAGAAGGAAGTGGAAGTGCTTATATGCTGTGTTTGCTATACCTGTCATCAAAGGCTGAAGGCATGAAGGTGGGTTTAGTCCTACTTTGAGGGAAAGAAGTTCTCCTGTACCTTTCAGCAGCTACAAACCTGAAAGTTTGCTACAGCCACAGCAACCAGGAAAAAAGTAATGCATGTAACTCAAAACAGTTAAGTTTGGAGTTGAACTCCTGTGTTTTGAATATACTGAAAAGCATGATGTGATTGCTATTGCCAGGGAGACAATAGAGTTTCTTGCATTAGAGTTGTGTGAAAACAAACCAGACAGACAAGGCAGTAACTGATTTGCTTGGGAATATGGTGGTGTGTACTAGATGGCGATTTGAAGTTCTTTCCAACCCTTTGGTTAAAATTAGTCCATTATCAATTCTTATGTTTTTTCATTTCGCTTTCTTCTATGTATTAAAGAGATAGGGAAACTGATTTTTTTTTTACAGAGCTTAGAGCAAATGTCTGAACGTATGTTTAGTGAATTTACAAATGTTTAAATCAGGAGGGAAACCTGTTCTGGAGTATAAATCTTCTGCATCCAGTAATGAATGTGTCTTATGTGTTGATTTTTATATTGTTGACATTAAAAAATAATTATCTGACTTAAAGTATATACGGTGAACTTCCTGGAAATAATTATGCATGGATAGCTCTGTATATCCAGTGGACTATTTCCACCAAATTAATCAAGTACATGCTTGTTGTCATCTGCAAATGGAACAGACAAAAGATATTTGACCTTGGATAACAGAAAAGATAAACTTCTTTGATAGTACATATATACATTTCAATAATAAATGTATTCTTGTATGTGGAAGTCTTTGCATGTCGGGTACCCAAGGATGTTCTATCTTTCCCTGTACTTCTTGTCACTGAAGATACAGAATAGAATGAAAAGTACATCAACCATAATTTCAATTCTTTTCAGTCATCTTGCAGACCAAGCTAGCTGATTGATATTCCATAAGGCAAGAGAACTCTGTGGTGTCAGTGAAAGATACTTTGGTCTTTGTCACATGTGAAATGCGTATCTTTTTCATCCCCTGTTCTGTGAATTGTAGTGTCTTTGAGTGTGCAACATTACTGCTGCTTCAAGCCTTGTATAAAACTTAAGCAAGGATTTAAACTCTGGAGTTTCTCCTCCAAAGATACAATAAGGGTTGTATTTCATTTTTTGAAGTCAGACAGTTGTAACAGATTCAGCTGCATTAAATGGCTGAGTTCCAGCCTGTGTAACTCTGAAGACAGGCCTCACATGCTTTGGATTCCATTTTACCTTGGGAAAGTATGGTTAAAGGTGTCTCTAGCAACGTGTCAACATTTCTGTCCACCTTCTTCAAACACTGATCTTTTTGGTTAGTATTACTGAAGAGTCTCACTTTTCTGCTGAGCTGGACCTTAGGTGACAAGGAATTCCTCCTATCCACAGCTCCATATGCTTCTCTGAAACATAGCACTTAATACATTGGTTTTGTCATAACTAAGCCATTTGTGATATCTCAGCATTATTGTCCTGTGGTGCATTCTTGGCAGCACCAACATGGTGCTGTCTCACAGCCTTTTGTTATCAAGCTGGTCTCAAACCTTCAATTCTCCCTCTTTCTGCCCCAACTTAGTGTATAGCTCAGTCTCAGCACTGCCCCTGCACTTCTCAGCCACCTTGTGTCAGAAGATAGGCTTCTTGAAGCAACTTTTTTTGTACCACAGAGCGTCAGCTTCTCCAGACTTAATGAAATGTGATGTTCGCATCAAGGTGAGTGTGTAGTGATACTGTTGTGCTGCATCTGACATACATACCTCTTCACAGGATTAGTGAGTGCTGGTGGCACCTACTTTTAACCTTATGATTCTCTGACTTTCTGGCCATATAGAGATGCCTTCTCTTGTAACTTAGGACTCTATGAACAGCCACGCCAGCTTGCAAGTGAGGAGTCACTGCTTTTCTCAGAATGGGTTGCTAGCTGATGGTTTCCCACTCTTTCTTGAGCTAAAAGGTTCCTAAACAAGTTAGTTTTTAAGAATTCTGTCCATCCAGAACTTATGTCCTAGGACTCAGGTCAAGTGCTTCACCTGATCCATATCATATTGTGTGTCATTGTTGCAGTATTCTATTCCAAACCACTGCAGTGTGATATACTTTTTCCTGTGTTTTTTTGTTTTTGTTTCTATAACAGGGATGTGCAGATGGATGCAGTCTAAATGAATCAAAATTTCAGTATGATTAGGTTGTTGCTCTCTTCACTCTTCCAGTACTTCAGTTCATTCTTATAATACCTGCTGGAGTGGAAGGACCTGTAGGACTTGATCTTTTGTGAAAGCTTATTAACATTTATCTGTTCTTACCATCTATTGTTTTCTTAGGCTGTTATATTTCCTCATGTCCCTCATTTCACTGATTCCAGGAGTTTACTGCAAATATAATCACATCTGGGCAGTTTCTCAATGGGATTTGAAGCTTGTGCTTCAGCTGTTCATCTGAAGGTCCTTCCTTTCAGCCATTGGATTCTTGTAGGCTCTGTCCATAAGGATGCTTGTTCCTTACAGCTGTTGTCTCAGAAGCTTTTCATGGCTTCTACCCATTATCAAGAATGGGACTGACTTATGCCTCACTTGCCAAGAGGCTTATGCTGGAACTCTTGTCTTTATTAGAAGGTTCTGGCTGCTAGCCCGCAATCTGCGCTTCATACCCTTCAATGACTAGGAAAGCTCTTTCCTTTTATCTTTACAGGTCCAGGCCCTTTCAGAAATCTCCCTGGTTTTGTTTCTACTACTGGGAGAATCTTAACATTTCCATGTAACATCTACACAAATGAATCTCCATTTGTATGCTGACATGGTATTTAAACAGCGATATTAAAATGTCACTGGTCAGAAGTCATTCTACAAGAGCTCAGGTAACCTTAGATCTTCTCTGCCGTGTTTCTGTCCCGGATATTTACTGCTTCTGCTCAACACCTTCACGTAACACGATGCCTGAAACATTCTGTGCTGCTGCAGCCCTCCACAGTCATACTACAGTTACAGCTCAACAGATGCTATACAGAGTGTTTTTTCTCAGGGCAATTGGAGTTGTCCACTTTAGAAACATACGTGTGGATCCTCTCTTAAAGACAGGAAGGTTACATTCCAGTAACAAGAGTTCTTTGAGACATAGTCCACCTTGTACATTTGTGTGCTCCTCTCTCTACCTTTCCTTAGACTGGCTTTTGTACAAGTAATTACAAAAAATTTGAAAACTAGAGGCATTTCTCTCCCTGCTTCTTTGGCACACTGTGCCTCAAGTTTGGTAGGTTGAATGGAAGATCTTGACAGGTAGTGCAAAGGGAAAATTAGTCAGAGGTCACTTGGATATGTTTAGAATATGACAGTATATCTTGAAGAATATTGTTACTATTAATTAACTTTGTGGTAATTCACAGATTTATAGTGAACAACTGTTCAGTTTTTCAGGTGAGAGGTAGAAATTGCTTTAAAATGTAATAAGTACTGTTTTTTGAATGCCATTAAAGCAGATACAACAATTACGTACATTTCTTATTTACGCAGAGGAAATGGCTACGTATCTACGTTATGTAAGAAGGCTAGATTTCTTTGAAAAACCAGACTATGACTACTTAAGAAAGCTCTTCACAGACTTACTTGATCGGAAAGGCTATATGTTTGATTATGAATACGATTGGATTGGCAAACCCTTGGTGAGTACAATGATGCTATTAGTAATAAACTGGGGGATTTTGTGTTACCAATTTTGAGCCAGTGTTAGTCTTGCATTTCATGCACATGTGCATCTCTTGGCTGCTGTTAGAGTTGTGAACAGCTGCTATTACAAACCCATTTTCAGATGCATTTTCAAATATTGTCTTTTTGCTTAAGACGTTTAATACTGAGTCTCTTTCCAAACATGTACTCTTAATATCAAAGTAAATCTCTTTTCAATTCAAAGAAAGGCTGTAGGAATTCAGACTGGTTTTTGACTTGGAGTTTAAAACTGCAGGTGATTGTTATCTCATGTATTTTCTTGCACTGGGGACTTTCTCTCAGTGTTTTTAAAACTTAGTGCAATCATTTCTCTGCATGGGTATACTCCAGATATTTATTAGTTCATTATGAAGAAACTGTATATGCAGTTCTAATGAAATATGATATTAGAATGTTTCCATCACAGTACATCTAAAGTTACAGAAAATACAGTCTTTATATTGTCTAAAAAAAGGGTAAAAGATTAATTTTTTAGCACCTCAAATTCTTCCTTGCTTATTTATGATAAGTAGGGAAGGGATTGTATGTTTCAGTTGGACAAATTCAGATTATACGCTTTGCCTTGAAGTTCCTTGTGTGACTCTCTGAAAGAATTGTAGTATTTATTGCTAAATCTTTTTTCAGTGTTTAGCATTAAAAATTTCTTGAAGCTGTTCCTCAGACTTTAATTGGAATGTCTGAACTGCTAATTGCAGAAAATAACAGCCTAAATTCTTTTAGAAAGTTAATGCCTGGCAATTCTGGGAATTGCTATTTCATGAAATTGTGTAAGTCTTGGATTGACTTTTTTTATTCTTGGTAATAGTAAACATGTGTGAAACTTCTGCTTTAATTCAACGGTTTGGATTATGGGAAACTGTCAAAGATTAATTTCTATTACAATCAGTAACTTTGGTAAGACTTAGAAATCTATAGTTTTTAACCAGTTGCTACATATTATTTCTATTTGTAGCCTACTCCAGTGGGTTCAATACATTCAGACCCTGCACCATCTTCAAACAGAGAAGCATATCAGCACAGAGATAAAACACAACAGTCCAAAAATCAGGTAAACTGCTCGTGTAAGAATTATCAGCATCACTTCTTCTTTTGTCTAATGAATTATGCTATGCTGTTGCTTTTATTAGGACTCCAAGATAAAATTGACTACAGGTTGTTGGTTCTTGTCTTTCATTTAAGTAGGTCTTTGTTAATGTATTTCTGCATTTATAGACCTTAAGATGTCCTAAAAGGTTGCTTGTTTGAACTATGATATAACATAGGTTTATATCAGTAGTGAATTTTCTGCCTGCTGATAGTTCCTTAAGTTTTTTTTAGTTTTCTGTTTTAATCACTGTCTCTTCCACATAATACTATATCATCCATTGGGGTTCAAACATGTATGTATATATTTTAACTTTTTTTTTTAAACTGGGATAATCACCTAGGTGGTAAAAACATCAGCAACTTAGATCTGTTTCTGTTTACCTAAGGTAAGTTACAGGGGTTGTGTTGGTGGACTTTGTTTATTACTATGAATTCTGAGTTTTAGATACTGCTCTATGAAAATGTGTATGTAGGTATATATAAATATACAGATAATGTTGATGTACAATCTATGTAGGAATTGAGTATGTAGTGCTGCTGCACTTTTTAAAATAACATATAATAATGCATGAATTGTTTATCTTTGGAATTTTTATTTCTTCTTTTGCATATATTCCTACATTCAAAAATGATAGTCAACAGACCATAGGGCAGCTTGGGACTCACAGCAAGGCAATCCACACCATTTGAAGGCTCATCTAGCAACTGACAGACATGGTGGCTCGGTACAGGTATTTTCTGCTTCTTTGCATGACTCAGTCATTTTTGCATTATATAATACTAGTTTTCTGTAGTGTGCATGACATGATTACTGTTCTCATATTAAGCTTGCTTTCCAGTAATGTTCAGAATGTTCCTGTTATTTCCTACTTCACAATCGCCAAACTGAAATTAAAACAGGTGCAGAAAACTGTATCTTTTTCTATGTGGAATTGCTTAGTGAAAGCCTAAAACAATGGAACTATCTCTCTTTTTAAAGGAATATACACTGACATCAACTTTACTACTGTTCAAACAACAGTTGACTAGAACAATGTTTCCCATGGCAGTACTTCATGTTTATAAGTGAAATAATAAGTAGAAACCAACAATTTTTCCTTTATTAGCTTATTTAATCTTCAAAGAGCTTTTTTCCTGGTTTGCTCTGCACTTTACTTTTTGGTGTCTCGCTCTGAATATATTCAGGGGCAAGATGGTTGCGATAATACATAAGGAAGTCTAAATTTAATACAGAGGATTAAAAATGCCAGCTGCAAAGTCTATATGAGGCTTTGAGTTTTAAGTCCAAGATGAAAATTTAGCTTTGGTAAAGTGTTGGGGGGAGGTGGGGGAATATTTTTTGTCTGCCAAATTTTTGGCAATCTAACTTACATATAATTTTTTCTGACATCTTGTTTTGCAAAAAAATTGGTCAATGCCTGAAGTAAGAATGAGAAGTCCAGGGTAAAGAAAACAGTGCTGTACTCTCACCACTGTGATATTTCCATATCTTCAAATACTTTGAATCTCAATTTAAACTTCAAGTTTTCTAGATTTTGCTGCTTTAGAAACTACTGTTATGTGGCGTTTAAGAAAATCTACTAGATGACAATTATCACTGTGCATCAAGAAAAGTTTAAAAATCATTCTATGCTTCTCATTAACAAAATACTTTGAAAACTTAGCCTTTTTAACTAGAATTGTGACAGTTATTTCAACATCAGTTTTAAAGGTAGTTCTTTGTCTTTTGAAAACACTTTAGTAATGTGGAATCAAAATTGGATTTGAAATTGTTTTCCAAAATTATTACATTTCTTAATTATTTTTTCATTTTTTAGGTTAGAAAAATACATCTTTAACTTGTTAAATTAGTTGGTAGAACTTTTAAATTGTATATTTTACCGCTCTTTTTGTAATCATAGCTTCTAAGAAACCCTTTATTTTTTCTCAGGTAAAATGTAACAATCGTGAGACATCTTATTGCATTTTAATGTGTTAAATTCCCTTTGGGTGTGGGGAGAACATACTCTAGAAAATAGTAGTGGTATGTCTTTCCATTAATGTGTTCTTCCTCTTTTTTTTCCTCAAAGGATAAGGGCATTCTGGGTCCAGATCACTTAGATCAATTGAGACTAAACAGTCACCATATACAAAGAGCAGTGTGCACAACTGTACCCATTTGTTCTGTGTGTGTGAAGATAAAGTGTTGTACACAAGGGTATTTTCAAGCCAGCTTATTTGGGTTGCTTTTTAATGTGGAGTGGTCATGCTTCTTCATTAAAGGCACTTATAAAACTACATAATACCTTCAGTTTTGCTTTGAAATTTGAGCCCTTGGTTGTTGTCAAACACCTGTTTGTAGTGATACCGAATGAATGATGCTATTGAGTTGAATAATTAGCTGGCTTAGTTTAGCTGAATTCCTAACTCTCCCGAAGAAGACAAGTTCTAAAAGTGCCACAGATAATTGTTCAAAGGAAAGTAGAGTCGAAGGTATGAAATTAACATGTGTTTGTTTTTTCTGTGATACTAGTGAGTCATTGCTTATCTTTGAGATCAATGTTATGCTGAATTATCCTTTTTTTTTTTGGCAAGATATGAAAACCTGGCTGATAATTTTATTTTAAGGCGTCACCAGAATGTTTTTTTAGGTCACTGGTATTAGTCATCTCTAATAGTACTGCTGATGTCGTCTCTGAGATCCTTTAGTAGAAGCTAATCAAAATGTGTTAGTGATTCTTCACTGTTACATATTAAATTCAAGTAGACTGAGTGTTGGTGTGTGTGTTCATACATATTTTTGTACTCTTAGTAATGATGTCCAAGTGGGAAACATTCAGGTTCTAAATGGTTTGTTCATTAATAATAATCATTACCCCATCCCTGGAAGTTCAAGGCCAGGCTGGATGGGGCTTTGAGCAGCTTGGGCTAGTGGGAGATGTCTCTGCCAGTGGCAGGGGCTTTGGAACTAGATAATCTTTAAGGTTCCTTCCAACCCAGACCATTCTATGATTCTGTGATTCTGGGTTTTGTATTGAGTTATCCTAGACTCCCTAGGCCTATGTTAGAGATACACAAATGTGCTTAATCATGTATAATTTTACTTTGTAGTGTCAGTTCACATTTAAAGTTCAAATACTACTAGCAGATTGAGTTGTAAAGAGAAGACCTCCAGAAATAGTTCACATCCCTTCTTTCACTTTTCTCTTTTTAGAGTAAGATTAAAAGGCTGTAGTATAGCAGTCTTTCTAGTTCATGTAGCCTTATTAATGAGCCAACTTGTACCTCCCAGCAATTCATTCAGTAACTTCCTATGTCTTTGTTTGCCTCAGTTCCCAAAAATGTCAGTTGTACAACACTTGAATTGTTTCCTTCTGTGCATGAATTGCAAACTGCTTATGCAGTCATAGAGACTGTACTAATCTGGTCAGTACTTTTTTCACCACTTGCTAGCTTCCTCTTATCCGACCTTTTTCTGTTTTCCCACTTGGAAATTCTTTAAAAGGAGGTTGGATTAAAAGATCAGTTTAAAGACTTCCCAGTGAAGTGCCATAGGTCTTGGAAGGTGCTCAAGAACTGCTTGAAACCATTAGATATTTGATGTAAATAGTTTTGAATTGCAAGACATCTCTCCTTCAAGAAATCAAGATAGCAACATGTTAGATTAAACAAATTTCCCTAAGCTTTTGTGAATTAAAAAGGTAGTGCAAACTTTTTTGATTCTTTTATCTTAACTGGAGGCTTTTTGAAGGTACAGTATAGCATTCTGTAGTATCACTAATGAATTGTTTAGGCATGAAGGCTGCTTTTCTTTTTTTAGGAGTTAGTTAATGAGTTGAGGAGTTAGAGTTCAGTTAATGAGATTGATAATGAAAATATTATTTTTTATGTCTCTTTCAAATTTTTGCAATTATTTATTGTGATTATAAGCATGACAACCAGGAAAATTTGTTTTGAGAGACTTTCAGACTGATTTTTTTTTTAACACAGCAAGTTAAAGATTAGTTTACACACTAATCCAAAACAAAGCATGGGGCTAGCCTGAAGATTTATTGTTACCGTTTGGGGAATTAGTATTTAGGCTTAACTTTGTTTTATTATAACTGGCATTTAACAACCTTCTAAAAGACCATATATCGAAGAAACTAATCTGTTTCACAATTGATGTATCTCATTACTAGGTAGTTGGTCTAGTATGTGACACATATGTTTCTTTATATATATGCTCTTCAAATAAAACTTTTAAAAGATTGATTAAATTTGAAGGACCTAAATTTCACCCAGGATAAGGTCTGTTATCCAAAGGTGCTTAAAGTTGTTTTAGATTTTCAGTTTAGTGGTTAATCTCCCACTTGTATATAGGTGAGTAACTTCAGTTAGTTGTAATTTGAAGCTTAGTTTAAAATACTCGTTTTCAGAAACCTAATTCTGTTACTATTCCTGCAAAAACGTTCATTTACTTTTTGTTAACAGAATTTTTAGGTGCAAAGACATAAATTCACTATCCACATTTTTCACTACAATTGTATAAAATTAAGAAATGAACAGTGCCTCGCATCTTTCATCACGCTACTGAGGAATTCCAGTACAACTCCAGTCATAAGTAGAGAAATGAAATTAAAAGTATCTTTTTAAGTACTGTTAGTTTAGCATAGTGGTTCTTCTCTCTCCTTTCCTAAAGTTTCAGCTTTTTATGTAGGTACACTATGATGAACCTTTTTTTTTATGCCTCTCTTGTGGTACATCTTGGCTACAGAATTTGGTGTAACACACCTTCAGTTCATAAACTGTCTTCCAGATGACTTGTTCAATTTTGTTATATTCCTATATATTTCTATGTCTGTTTTGCTGATTTTTGATATATTTGGGATGTAGTCTGAGAGAGGGAAGTGTGTTTCCGCTGCATGTTAGTCTTTTACTAAGTGCACTTTTTGGTCAGCTTGAAAAATGTTTTACTGATGTCACAGGAAATTAACTTCTGGCATCGTAGGTTATTTTAGCAAGGTACAGAATTAAGATTCTAAGATAATACAGTTGTGGCCTTACTGAAATCTTACTGCCTATCTCTTGTGCTCCTTTAAATTAATCTTTGTTAGTTTTTTTTAAAGGCAAGTATTATGCTCTGTTGCAGGTGTATTAATTCCTGGTTATTTATCTTAACTGAGACCATTCCTAGATCAGCGTTCAGCAGTAGTAGACTAGAGTGAAAGTCAAGGTGTCTGTGATTCTGGAGAAACTTGATCAATGCTGTTTTTTCAGACTACCAATACCCTTTGGTTCACTTAGCTTTTAGAGTTCACAACTCTTTCCAGAAAGAAGAACTTTGTTTTCCTCCCTTCTAAACTAAGCCATGCAATAGGCAGTATTACTTGATTGTATTTGCTTCTGTATTTGGTGGAATGTGTCTGGTGTATGTGTTAGGGAAGTACTGAGGTCTCTTTCTTCTTGATCTCTATCTCTTTGATAGAGGTCTACCAGAGAGAGGCAGGACAGTCTTCTGCAATCTGGTGTGAAGGTTTCGATGGAGTTTGTGTCGAAGCTCCTTAGACACTACAGTCAAATTAATTAAAAAAAACACCTTAGGACAAGTGTTGTCTTGAAAAGAAGGACTTTCCCACTGAAAGGGGGAGGACCTCTTTAGGAAAGCTAATTTTAAGTCTAGATAATGAAGCAGAAATCCTGAACGATTATGACTGCAGGCAAGATTGACTACAATTTTAATTGGGTGGCATTGCTTTATATGAATTAGTGCAGGCTGTCATTGTGCTTAGTTATGTAGTCATGATTTGGTTCCTCTGGATCCAAAGCTCATTTGTTGGACAAATTGAGTCATATTTTTTTTTACTTTTACATTTTCAAGAACAATCCTGTCTCATTTAGCAAGTACTTCCCATGCAAACACCATATGTTTCCACTCTGCATATTACTATTACAATTGGAAATTTCACAAGAAGCAATGGAACTATCTGCATAGTAAGATACCTGATGAGATGTTGGGATGATATGATTTCCCCTTACCAGTAAATATGGACAATGATGACAAGAAATATTAACATAGTTGCAAAAAAAATCAATTTATCCAGGGTATATAGTTTAAGATGCCTGACCCACCATGTATATAATTTGTTGAAGTACAATTCCTATATATTTCCATCACTGAATGTTTAGTGTTTGTGCCATCCCCAACAATATGAAAGTAAGTCTAAGCCAGCTGGTGGAAACTCCACTGACTTACCTGTTATCACTGAAATTTAAGTCCAATCTCCCAGAAGTCCTTCAGTTATAGTGACTAAAATTTAGGTAATTGTATTCTTGCAACCTCAGACATCTTTTTGGGTTGTTACTGGGCTGCAGGTTTTTTGTTCTTGTTTTTTGGCCAGTCGTTCCTATTTTAGTGAAAGAAGAAAACTCAGCCAACTCATGTTGGGCATATGGCATGCTCAAATTCAGCAAACTTCTGAAGCTCTGTACTTGGTTACAATAGGAACCACAAAGCAAATCTCACTAGGCAAGGCTATTTCCTCTGGTTATAAATAGATGAAATGTAACTGCTACATTAGGAGTAGAACTTGGAAGGGTGAGGGGAATTAGTAATATTATGATGATGACACTCCTTCCCTCTGCTTTCTTCTACTTTAATCTCTGACCTTTGGGCAACAGCTAGTAAGAATCTTGAACTATGGACTACTGTCGGTCTACTTTCCTGTATCTGATGATATTTTACACATGTTTTCTTCAGGCTCTTCTATTATTTGGCTAGAACAATATTTTTGTGCAATGTTGCTTGGTCAAGCATTTGCTGCTACTTCGTAGCTAGTAAATCTCTTCGTATTTCTATGGGTCAGATATTTGGTCAGAGCAGCTGACAGCGCTATGCGCTTCTCTATGTCCAGTTAACCATCTTCCTGACAGATTCTGTGAGGTGAATAAGGGAGAGGCCTCTGGAATAGCTCCACTTGTCACACAGGAAGGCTGGCAGAAACTGAGAGAATATTGGGTTCCATTTGGTTTAAAGTCAGAACAAACATTCCCAGAGAACTAGAGCTGTCCTAGTGCCTCAAGAATTTACAGAGGAATTTGAGGGTAAATTAAGGGGAATAAAGTTGAATAATTTTTATTTTTTGATGGCAATAAGTGTTCTTGTGTTCTAAGAATATAAACCAAACACCACCTTATACTCTTAGGTCTAGAGAATGTCTTGGTTTTCCCCTCTTCTGGTGAGTACACTTTGAGATATAACTGAATCGGGCTACATGAAGAAGGAAACTAAAGGAGCTTAAATATGCTAAAGAAGCAGAGATAGAGTAAGACTAACTGAATTGGTATCAGGAGAGGAATTAGTGCCCTCCTGTAAGGCTCTGAAGAGACATGAGGGAGATCAGCATACCCAATCAACGGAATTGCTTTGCTTAGTCCTCTTACTTCCAGTCTGTCATGTAGATGTCAGTTCCATTTGTAGATATGAAAGAAAAATGGCAGGGATGCGGTAATAAAACCTGGAAAAGATGCTATTATTGGAATGATTTTTGAAGATGCATTGTAACTTTAGAAATTGACAAATGTATGTCTGGCACTAGCATAATTCCAGGTATTTCTGGTGATTTCAGGTAGTAAGCTCAACAAATGGAGAACTGAACACAGATGACCCAACTGCAGGCCGTTCAAATGCACCTATCACAGCTCCTGCAGAAGTAGAAGTAATGGATGAAACTAAGTATGTCCATCTTTTTATATTCTTTGGATGTTGTGTGCTCAGCTGCCTCAAAAATCTTCTTGTATAGTTATTCAAAAAATATTGTCTAAACTGAATAGCCACTGGTGAGGGGCAAAACTGTAGTGCTATACTTAATTTTGGGTTTAAATATTAAATAACAGACATTCTATAGCTTGTGCTTTTTAGGCTAAGCCCTCTAACACATTTCTCTATACTGGAAAAGTGCATGTATTTTTGATATTTCAACTAATTTTGAAATACTTATTTAAAGATAGTGCTCTGACTGTCAAAACTTATGTGTAGAAGATGTAAAATTCTTACTCTGTGTGGTATTCTGATTGTCTTTTTTTCCCTTACTCTGTTCTGTATAGCTGCCAGAAAGTGTTGAACATGTGGTGAGTTCTACAGCATATGCAGGCAGAAATAGCCCTAGGGGCTTTGTTCTTGTTAATTGTTTTATAACTAATTTCAGAGAACTTTAAAATAACAAATCCATTTGGAAATCACAAAACGTGTTTTAATGTTGGTCAGTAATTAACTGTTCATACAAACAGCCAACTTCAGGAGCTATTTTGCCTGCTTCAAATCTTGCTTGCTTTAAAGTTGTGTAGTCTGTAGTGTACTTTATTTAATCCTTTTCAGTGAGTAGTATATTTTTTTTCTTATCTGCTATCCTGTTTTAGAGGGGAAAACATTGTTTTCAAATCTTGTAGCATTCAGCTAGTATTTTAACATCTAGAAAATAACTCACTTATATGAACAAGTAACAAATACTAGCAAATGTTTGAACTTTGCCTGTTACCTCTATAAGTGAAGTATTTACTAGAGTATTACTTGTTGACTAACTAGTTACTAAAACATAATTTCAGGGTTCCTTAAAGTTATAGTGTAATGAATGGGAAAAATATTAAGGTCTCTTAATATGGGTTGGGCAACTAACACATATATGAGTAGTAAAGTCAGATTTACAAAGTAGTGCAGAAAAATATTCTTGATAGCTAAAGGCAGTATAACTTTCAACATGTTTTCTTTTATAATTGTGCTTGGAATAGGATTTTACAAGGGTATGGATCTAGTTTATACTAAAATAGAGGCATTTGAGGATGAATGATTCATTGTAAGCAGGATAATCCAGTTAAGCATTCCTTGACAGCAGTAAGTTTTGAAGGGCCCGTTTTCCTAACTTTTAAATAAGAGGAAATTTCTCAAACTACAGGTTTTCCTTGAAGTGATTGTTCTGATGGTCTGGTATATAAGATTTATGTGCATGTCTAGTTAAAAATTGTGACTGGAGGTGTCTGTTGTGCCACACTTGTTCACTAGCTTTCTCAGATGAGTTCTTTATCTGCCATCTTTGCAGAGTACTGTATTATTATTTTTCTGGCAAGAATTAATTTTTCTTATCTATATATTTAAAACAAACAGAAAAGAGCAAGGATGTTGATAGGCTGCACATCAAGAAATTCCCTATCCTCTCCCTTTGGATAAGTGCAGTGATAACCTTCTTTAAGCTGAGCTTATGTACACACACAGGAAAAGATTACATTTCTGTGAAGTTTTTGAGTAGTGCTGAGCACAACTAAACCTATGCTTAGTTATCTACAGAAAGTTAGAGACTTCTGAGAAGCCAGGTTGCTGCAGCTGCTTTGAAAATGTAGAAGTTAATTTCCTCTGATATGAATAATTGATGGATGAATATGCTATCCATTACCTTTTTGGCCTAGTCTTTACTGGTTTTATTAGAGAAAAAATATCTAGTCTCGATAGCCTGCTTTTTAGATTAATGTTCTTTTTCAATGTGAAACACATAAATTAGTTTTCCAGTGGTGTCTATTTAAACCACTTTCCTCACTATTTTTGCAGGGTAAAAGTCTTTTATGTTTTGGCAGTAATTAAAGCAACACAGATGCACACATCTTCACCCATACTCCCTCCGCAGCATTGCTGTCAGACATCAATGTATAGGTATACATCTCTTCTGAGTAACAACACTTTAGAAGGGTTAGGTAATATTCCATTTTAAAATGATAGTTACAAGGTTATTGTCAAAAGGTATTGAGATGCTTAAACATCCATTTATAGATTCTTACACTGCTGAAGAGTGTAAGGAAATGCAAGTATCAGTATCTTTCATGTCTGTGATACAGACATTTTTGATTTTAAGGAGACATTATTTCATCAATGACTTTTAAGTTTCTCTTTCATAATCTTTTCTCTATCTGAAAAGATGAACAAAGTTAAACTCTTACTGATATCTTCTGTTTGTAACATTTACTCATGCTCTAAGGAGACAAACTTGAGTATTTTTAGAAACAGTTCATTTTTTTCTAGATTTTTTCATAATTCTAGAAGCTTAGCATGACTATCTGTTGGTTTACAAGACTGAGGAAAGGGTATCCTATTGTGATTCTAACTATCAACACAGATCTTGTTTAGCTGAATATTAGATCTTCTGTTCCCATTTTAGTAGGATGCTGTAAATCAGAAAGGACAAGGATTTTTTTCAGTAGGCATTTTCATCATCCAACATTTCCACTGTTTGATATATGTTTATGTGCGCACATGCAGTATATGTTTTAAATCTTATGCCTTGTCATCTTCATGCTTCTCAAGGTGTTGCTGTGCAGCAGGCATGATTTTGTACTGGGTGTTGGGGTTTGGGTTTTTTTTGTTGGGGTGTTGCATTTTTGTTGAATTTTTTTGTTATTCTTGTTTGTTTGTTTTGGGGTCTTTTGGTGGTTTTGGGGGGCTTGATTTTTTTGGTTTGGTGGTTTATGTTTTTTAGAAAAGTAGCTTTCACCTGTTTCATTTGTTAATCACTGGGGTTGTAAAGCAGAGAGAAAACTAACCATTTTTGGTAAACTAATCACTGTTTTGTCCTTGCAATTATAGATCTTATCTTCTATGGATGTTGTTCTAGTTATCAGCAGGAATTAGCCTTTCTTTCCTTAACTCTTTGCTAGCCATCAGAACAACTGCTTCTTTGAAGCATGTGTAATTTTTATGACCAAAAGACTCTGCCTCCAGAGGACAGAGAAGGGCAAACAGGAAAAGATGAAAGGGTCTGTCCTTTTTGCATCTTGTGTTCTTCTTGCTACTTTAAACACCTGTTAATAATCCTGCAGTAAAGTGCTGCCACATGCTAGATGGTGCTTTAGCATGTTGTGCCAAGGGACTGCTCAAATGGTAGAGGGAAGAGTAATTAACAGAAAAAAGGTACGATAATGTTTGAGGCAGGACAAGAAGTGTTTGTAACCAGAATACTGAGATTGCTACAGGAAAAGTTGTGTCTCAAGTTTCGTAAATTGGTATTATGCTGTCTGCTATAAAAATGTTTTATACCCTACAGAGAAAGAGGTTAGCAGTCACTAAATGCTTTCTTTAAAAAGAAAAAACGTTGCTCTCCTAGAATTGGAAATTTTCAAAGTGTATCTATTCTTATGCATTTTGCATGCCTATTGAATAATATGATAAATTTGTGGTTTAATACTCATTAATAATGCCCCTATCTGTAGCTTTAAAAATACGGCTTCAAGCAATCTAATATATATAGAAGTGATAACAACACCCTCTAGTGACAGTATTCTTTAAGAACATGTCTGCATTTCTATTACAGATTATACTTCTCAAGAGATTATGCACCATGGTTACATTTCTTTCATAAAATTTATTATCAGGCACTGTAGTGTGACCTGACTTACTCCCATTTAAATGTCCATATGTTCTTATAATTTAAAAAGAAAGGTCATTAATAGAAATTATAGTCTTTGTAACACCATTATGCAAACTCCAGAAGACCAGGAGATTAAAAAAAGCAATGCTTCGTGTTGGTTAAAGGTAGAACTTTATGCAATTCCCTACTACGTGATGCCCTTCTCTGTCTGACAGAGAAGTAGCAAACTAAGTAGGCTATGGAGAAGGAAGAAAGAACATTTGCAGCAAGGGTATGTTAATATTTTCTGGGAATGAAAGCATGAAAACCTAAAATGGCCTTGAATTATACAGAGGATGCAAGCAGTCCTAAACATTTGAAAATTGTGATCTGCTGTTCCTTGAGACACACTCCGTATAAGCAAAACGTAGTTAAAGGGTGGAGAGTTAAAATTCTAGATTGGTGACATAAATCATTGCAGGGAGATCAAAGTATGAATCAAGACAATTTTTTTTCTGAAAGCTTTCTTTGTGGTCTCCTAACCTGAAATGGGTACAAAAGTGATTTACCATCACAGTCCAGGGTAGGACTTCTTCACTTACAGGAACATAGGATGATTCACATTGAAAGGGAGGGACCACTGTAAAACGCTTTGGTTTGACATGATGATTGTTGTATGTCATATCATTGTATGGCATATATCAAATACTTGGGAAGAGAGTAGGATGAAAGAAGGATTATACTAAAATGGAACCCATACATCTGCATATAAATTCCGAGCTTAAGTGATAATGGATGTTAGTGGTTATAGACAGATGCTAAGAAAAAGGGTTAGTCAGGGGGGAGTTTCAGTTGCAGTTGGTGGCTACTAGCCTTCAAAACAATTATGCCTCTCTTAGGACTGCTTTAAAATTAATAAATACATTATGATATTTCTGCTAGCTGTAAAAATATTTATCTGTATAGTTTCCCTGGATTAATTTTAATTTTGGGCTTCCTCTCCATCAATAACCAATGTTTTTTTCTGCTGAAAGTTATGTAACTCTCAGAGCAGCTCTGGTCTGCCTCTGCCCACTGCTACTTTTTCAGTGACTGAGCAACAGGGTGCCCTTGGATATTTTGAGAAGGTAACTTTTGTCTCCCCTTACTTTGGATGTTATCGCACCTTGTAGAACCTTATTTTAGACCCTTAGTCTCCCTGGTTTTCAAGTGCTTTCCCCATTTCCCCATATTCCAAACTAAATCAGCAGGATTCCATTTGAATTTTAGTGACATAAAATGCTTGGTGAACTTTTGAACTTACTGATAGGCTGTTGATGCAGTACATTTATGTTTTCACTTCTGTTGTACTTTGTAGTTTAAGAAAGACCTCTTGAGTTTATAGCACTGTAAATGCTATACTCAACAACCAAACTGCAGAAATCCATGGGGCAAGCTCTGTTAAGGCAGCTTGCATATTCATTTTTAATTGCAAATTGTGAATACTTTATTAAGTGGAAGCTTTAATTTTAAAGGTGGTAGTCAGGAACTGGGAGTTGCGTAAAATAAGGCTGATGTTACATGCAAAGGAAAACATTTTCTATGTGTATTTGTTGCTTTCCTCTTTAGTTTGTTTTCAAAAATATTTACTGGACTTCTGCAGTCCTCCTCTGTCTTACCTATTTCTAACTCCCTCCAATTCCTTTTCCTTTTATAGTGTTTTTTTCAGTTACTTTAAGATTGTCTCTATTTGCGAAGTGAAATTCACAGTATTTGTCAATTTTAGTTTCCTTCATGTAGTTCATGAACATTTTATTCTAAAATGATTTGGGGAAGATTTTTCCAAGTTCTAGTTGACGAAGCTCAAATTATTTTCTTCTATTAGCAACAGCAGTGTCTTAAGTACACAGTTCAGGTGACACAATCAAGTGTTACAAAAAGTTCACACTTGTGTTCATCCGATTACCAGTTAATATGAAAGAATACTCAGGTAATGGAACAATCCTTATTCTTATAAATACATTTTTAAAGTCAGCCTATAATGCCCATGCTTTTGATACTCGCACACAATGCTCTCAACTGAATAGTTTGTTATTACAGCTTTTTTTCATTTGATACTTTTTTTCCAAGAAAAGGTGAAACATGCCAAAAATATCTCCACTTTCTTTCACTAATAAATCAATCACCTGCACTAGAGCTTAATGTGTTCCTTGTGGTGCTGTCTATACCTGAGCTACACACTTCAAGTGAAACAAATACAGTAAGAAAGTTTGTTTTTCTGATTTCTTTTTATATCTTATGTAATTCTGCAGGTGCTGCTGTCTTTTCAAGCGGAAGACAAGGAAAACCATTCAGCGCAACAAATGACTAGAACCAAGCAGAAGACAGGAAGTTGCTTATTTGTTCAACTTCTGTCTTGTGAACTTTAAAAAAAACCCAGCACCTCTGTAATGACCACGCATTTCCCAAGGATTCGCTTCAAAATAATGTCATGCCCGTGTGCTTTCATTTGGTTCTCCTGCAACCATCTTTTATTTCTTTAATTCATCTATTCTGAAAGCTTTAAGGTTTTGTTGAATGAGTGCTTTTTGAGCATCAAATAATGGACCAATGAAATGGTACAAATGAACAGTATCCTCAGCAAAACTAAACTTGAAAAGTATTTCTTCTGTCCTAGGAAGTACTACCAGTGTCTTAGCTGAAGACAGCTGCCATAAACCTGGTTATTTGAGTCCGTAGCAGTGTATCAAAAGCAGTTTTCTTCAAAAATGCAGAAGAGAAAGATGCACAACTGTATAGAAAAATAATAAAATTTCTTTTCTGAGACCTGCACTGATTTTTTTCTTTCCTCCCAGTATTACTGGTGATAGTGTAGTCAAATTGTATCAGCATTAAACCTTGTATGTGATTCTGTTGTACAGTCACTGTCTAGAGATGCAGAGGAAGCGGATTTTACTGTTGACAGTTGTCTAAATGCTGGCGATAATAATGAACAGAAAGTTTATCCAGTAGCCTGTGGGTTTGAAAATCGACTTTTGTTATATCTACAATGGAATTGCAGTACAGTAGAAATTACAAGCGTGTTTGTACAACAAATACAGAAGTTTGCAAAATTTGTGTTTCCAGTAATGTTAGTAAGATTGAAATATCTTCAAAAGTGGATCTATAGAGGAATTATAAAAGAAGAAATGAATGTGAATCTGGTTAAAGTGGAATAAGTATTAAACGTATGTGTTCACTGAGGTAACTGATGATTAACATCTTGAACTTGGTAATATGGGTATGCCATGTGATGTTAGAGATTGGTTTGTAAATTATTTTACTCTTTAATTTAGAAAACAAATGCAATGGAAGCAAGTTAGACTTCTCCCTTATGTGGGTGCTAGCCCATAGTACCCAAAATTTCCCAAGTTTTTTTTTTCCTGGAAATTCTTGTCTTTCAATGCAATGAGAAGAGTAGGATGGCAAGGATGTGTCAGGTACTTCCCCACAATCCAATGAAGTGCCTGCAGTGTGAACAAACCAACAGTTCTGCAGATAAGGCAGCCCACTTTATATTTTTGTCTTCAGAAAATATGTACTTATGTTAAAGCCATTGTGACACAGATGCTCTTTTGTCATGTTTAGCTGCCAGTTATTGAAGAAGGGGTGTGAAAGATGGAAGTGACTAGACAGATCTCATGACCAAAACTCAGATTATCTCAACTTTTTTATAATTCTTCTAGAGCTAATTCATATTTTTTTCTATCCATACATGCCTTTTGGCATACATATTTATTTTTTGATCTGTTTTGTCATAGCATTTAAAGTGTATTTTAAGATAAATGCACACCTTTGAATTAATTATTGAATTTACAAGGATTTTAATTGTATTTTGTAATTTATTTTTCCTTAACAGCCAAAAGTGTATTTCATTGTTTGGATTATGTGCTCATATGTATACTTTGATCTTTGTCATTATTACTGTTAATGATCTTAAGTTTTTGTTTCAAAAAACCTAAACTTGGCCTACAAAAACATGCTGTATAACAGGTCATAGGTTTTCACTCCACCTGTTTGTGGTTTTGATTTCAGACTTATTACTACTTTGTTTCTCTTTGAGCTGAAAAGGTTACTTGACCATTCTCATGTGAAAACACATCCCTCTTTGTAGTACTTGACCAAATTTGTTGCTTTGTAAGATTTGTAAGTCCATGTGGTATATGTATTTCTGACACACCTGATTAGTTTGATTCTCAAAGGCTCTTGACCTGTACAGTGTTTGTATGATCTGAGCTCCATACACATAACAAGAAAGTGTGTATATTATGGACTTGAAATATTTGGATATATAAGCTGTCTATTTGCTGAAATGACCAGTATCTAGGCACTTGCTTTTCAGCAATACTTTTTTAAGTGCTTGATTTTAATGATGAAAAGGGGTTTCTTCCAGCAAAGTCGTCAGTACTAATGCTGGTATGTTCAGGTTATGCCAATATGATTTGCATTTATAACCATTTTTTTTTTCCTGCTAAACTAATGAAGTCACTATTGGGTGGATGTCTAAAAATGAAATACATCCCTGTTTAAATGTAAGACAAAAAATAAAGATAGTTTTCTAAAACTTGCCTCTTTTTCTCCCTTTCTTACAGTCTTGGATGAAATAATGGAAGGAATTTTAATAATTGCTGAAGAGTGTTAGTCTTTTTGGATGGTAAAGAATCTAAAAGCATGTTATGTGGAATGCTACATCAACATTGCAGTTACAGTTGTTTGCTTAATTGACGGCTGTTATTGTTATATGCTTTAATACATCTAATGATAACAATGGAGTGAAGAGACTTCAATGCATGTGTTTCTAGCTAGGAAATCTACTCAGGATCTCCATGGATTGGTCTGTGGTGTCTATGCCATGTAGAATAAAAGCTGTTACAGCTACTGTGACATATGCAATGAATGCATCTTTGATTCTGCCAGGTAGGTATCTAGAAAAGAAAGATTCACGGTTATTTTTTCAGTCAGAGCCTTTTGTTCAGTGGAGGTGACTGTTCCTAGCAGTAGAGCATTTGATATGATGTAAAAAAGGGCATATTTACTTGAGATCAATGTTAGTAGGCAAAAATGGTTGCTAGACTTCTGGTTAAGATTCCTAGCACTTTGCTTCATAAACAGCTATTTTCATTTGCCTGTGCTCTTACAGATTTACAGAACTGCTGCAAGTAAATTTTTATTATTCATGCTTTAGTTCCAATAAAAAAAGTTTTCCTCAGAACTTCTTTTTGAGACTTAGAATTCTAAGTCTCTAAGTGCTTAAAACTACACCCCCATTTATTCATTAGTAGCTTTTTTGAAGGATATTTCAGACATGAAGATTACAGAATCAGTTATGTCAAAATTAGGCTGTGTACAGCTTCATTGATTGTCTTATCAAATTAAATAGTATATTTTCTGAGAATATCTTCCTCTTTGTCAGGATGAGTGATAGTAACTGAAGTAGAGCAGTTTTAAGGATGTATTCCATTCTCAGATGCTAAACATTTATTGTAGAATAGCCTGTTCCATGTCTTATTGCCACATCTTACTCAAAGTACAAATTTACTGAATATCTATGGGGTTTCCTGTGGTGATGTATAATATGGGATATTTAAGATACTTAGGTCTTAAGACAATTTGCCTCTGAAGTATTATCTTTTTGTCATTAAAAGCTGAATCTAAAATAACTAGTTTTTTAATAATAAAAAAAAAGAAACAAACCTAATTCCCCAACTTCATTGACTATGTCATGGTTTAACCCAAGCCATCAGCGAAGCACCATCCAGACCCTTGCTCACTCCCCCTCATTTGGGGTGGAGGAGAGAATCATAAAAGTGAGGGAACTCATGGGTTGAGAGACACAATTTAATAAGTAGAACAAAAGCTGCACGCACAAGCAAAGCACAACAAGGAATTCACTCCCTCCTTAGCCATCTCCAGGAAAGCGGGGCTGCATCATGCATAATGGTTAATTGGAAAGACAAATGTCTTCACTCCAAATGTCCCTCCCTTCCTCCTCCTTCCCCCAGATTTGTATGCTGACCGTGATGGCATGGGATATCCCTTTAGTCAGTTGGGGTCAGCTGTCTCAGCTTCTTGAGCATAGAACAAAAGCTGCACGCACAAGCAAAGCACAACAAGGAATTCACTCCCTCCTTAGCCATCTCCAGGAAAGCGGGGCTGCATCATGCATAATGGTTAATTGGAAAGACAAATGTCTTCACTCCAAATGTCCCTCCCTTCCTCCTCCTTCCCCCAGATTTGTATGCTGACCGTGATGGCATGGGATATCCCTTTAGTCAGTTGGGGTCAGCTGTCTCAGCTTCTTGAGCACCCCCAGCCTGCTTGCTGGTGGGGCGGTGGGAGAAGTAGAAAAGGCCTTGACTCTGTGAGCACTGCTCAGCAATAGCTAAAACATCTTTATACTACCACCACTGTTTTCAGCTCAGATCTAAAACATAGAACTGTACTAGCTACTGTGAAGAAAATTAACTCTATCCCAGCCAAAACCAGGCATAGACTAGTCTGAGATGTAAATTATTTTTCAGACTATGCTTCTATTTTCTTGTGTACGCAAGAGCACTTGAGTGTGCTCTTGAAGACTTGTTGGGTGATGTGATGCTTGGAGGCCACCTCAAGATGATGTTTTTGCAATTGGGACAAGGGGGAGCCCCAGTGAAAACAAGCCAAACCCCATCTTTGCAGCTCAATGCAAGGTTGCAGCCTGGAAAGGTGCTGGAGAGCCGGGAGGGTTGGGTAGTTGCCCAAGCCTAGTCTGGGTCAAGGTGTCTCATCAACCAGAGTGCAAAGCATATTAAGTTACTGCCTCCTGACCACTCACACTCAGCCCTAGGGCTGCTCTAAGAGCTGCTTGCAGGTCCTGGTGCTCCATACACCTCTGTTTCTTCCCAGGTCTGCTTAGGTACTTGCATGGTGCAGCAGGTACTCACCTCGCTTTTTGCTCCAGCCTCCCAGCTCTACCCTAAAATGCTGCCCGCCTGTTTGCAGCTTGTGGGGGAGTAGAGAGGGAAACAAGGAGGCTTCCCCATGACTCTGTCCTGGAGTACTCAAGATGGTGTTTGTGCGATGGGGACAAGTGGAAGCTCCCACAAACAAGAGCCTGGCCCCATTTTTGCAGATCAATACAAGGTGGCAGTTGGCAAAGGGGCTGGCCTGCCTTCTCAGGCTGCGTTTTCATTCCAAGGACCAAGATCTCAGCTGGGTCCATAGCATAATGCTTCAATGTGCTGTTGTCTGTTACTTTAAGTGTCTCATCAAGACGTTCCACATGCTGGAGGTGCTGACTGCCCTCTCCTGTAGAAGCCATGGCCATTGCTCAGGAAGGTGACTGCAGGGGTGCGAGGCAGGACAGGGTCCTGCTTGAGAATCTGCCTGAGCAAGACTTGTAATGGGGAGTGTTGGGTCTGCAGCCAGTGCCCAGCCTGCTGGGTTGTGGGGTGGCTCCTCCTCTGGACATTGCTTGGTCTTGGTTGTGCGGTGCCCTGAATAGCTGCCTTCTGACCTCCTGCATTTCCCTCTGGGTTCTCCAGCTTTGTACAGAAATGTATTTCCCAAGCAGCGTGGGTCAAGGGAACTCAAAATTTCTGCCCAGTTCCTCCATACTTCTTCTCTAGCCTAAGAAGGACTCTGATTTCAATAGCACTCTCTTTGCCTGGATTTTATTTTATATTTAAAGTTCAGGAAGTAAATGAAAAAAGTTAATTTTCTCAGCCTTTTGAGTCAACACCCTCTCCACTGGATCAGGTATTTTCTTCTGTAAAGGACAAGTTTGATGTAGAACCAGTGGGAATCAGTGTTTCTGTTCCCTTCAGCATTTGGATTAGTCCCTGGGAGCTTTATGAAACCTTGTCCTAAATATTTGGACAATAAATATACGGAAAACTAAGCCTTTGGATCCTCTGGGCAGAGCTAAGAAGGGTCTAGAGTAGCAGAGCTGGCAGAGTAAGGAGTGAAGGAGCGTTCCTGAAGGTCTGGCTCAGGCAGATGCCAGTCATAAATCAGCTGGCCTTTGCTGTTAGCCTGCAGTGCTGTTCAACTCAATAGCATGGGAAAGAAGGGCTGTGTCGGTGGGCTGAGGAAATGTGGGTGGCCAAGCCAAGAAGACACAGATAGGCACAGGTTTGTAGCAGTTAGTGCAACAGTAACTAGTACAAGATCTGTATGAAAATAATAGCTACTACTGAGAACTAGTGCAGGTGTCAGTGCCTGATGTATTAGCTTTACTGAGGGTCTTCATGCAGACATGATAGGCTAGAAGGAGTATTGAGGAACAGGGCTTTGGCCATGGGCTGCAGGAACACATCTTCTCTGGCCCATCTTTCTTGCAAGCTTGGAAACGCTTTTCGTCCTACATAGGTGCTAAGCATGCGAAGTATTAGTAGTTGGAGATTCCTTACTGAGAGGCACCAAAAGACCCATGGCCAACTTCTCTAGGGAAGCAGGCTGTCTACCAGGAGGAGCTCACCTTCACAATGTCACTGAGAGGCTGCTGAGCCTGGCGAACCATCGCTCCTACTATTCCACGTAGGCTCCAATGATACTGTCATGAGGCAACTTAGAACCATCAATCCATTGGAGTGTGGTAAAAGGCTCAGGACCACAGGTGTCTCCTTTATCCTCGCAGTCAGAGGAAGGGGTTCAGGAAGGAGGAGACAAATTGAACAGATGAATGCCTGCCTGTGTGTCAGGTGCTGTCCTCAGGGTTTTGAATTCTATAATCTCTTGTTTCCTGTGTGTAAGAAATCAGGTGCATAAGGCAGGACACCAGCACAGCTCGGGAAGAACCTCTTGGTCAAACTAAAATGTAAGAAGGAAATGCACAGGCAGTCAAACCAGACACGTGTATCCTGGGAGGAATATAGGGGCCCTGCCTGGGTGTGCAGCAACGGGATCAGGAAAGCTAAGGCACAGTTGGAGCTGAATTTAGCAAGAAATGCAAAGAAGTAGTAAAAGAATATGTGCTTTTATAAGTACATTGGCCAGAAAAGTAAGATTAAAGAAAATGTACAGAGGGAGCAGCCCTGCAGAGAAAGACACAAGGATCCTGGTGGATGACAAATTGGGCGTGAGCTGGCAATGTGCACTTGTGGCTCAGAAAGCCAGTCGTATCCTATGCTGCATAACAAGAAGGGTGGGCAGCAGGTCAAGAGAGGGTGATTCTCCCTCTCTACGCTGCTTTTGTGAGACACCACATGAACTGCACCCAGCTCAGGGGCTTCCAGTACAAGGAGGACATTGATCTAATAGAGTGAAGTCAGAGAAGGGCCACAGAAATGGTCAGAGGGCTAAAACTTGTTTAGAACATATGAAGAAAAGGTGAAAGTTGGGGCTGTTCAGCTCCGGGGACACCTTATTGCAGCCTTTCAATACTTAAAGTGGGCTTATAAGAGAGACAGAGACTTCTCACCAGAGTGTCTAGTGACAGCACAAGGGGCAAGCGTTGTAAACAGAGAGAGGGCAGATTTAGATTGGCTATAGGGAAGATGATTTTCATGTTGAGAGTGATGAGCCACTGGAAGAGGCTGCCCAGAGAAGTTGTGGATGCCACATCTTTGTAAGTATTCAAGGTC